CAGCATCCGGCCCCCATTCAAACCTTGCCTTTTTCTTAATTGCCTGGAAAAAGTATAGGCATTTGTCGCCTGATCGGCTTAGAAATCTTCCCAAGGTCGCCAGACAACCTGTTAACTTCTGAACCTCTCGGATGGTACGAGGCGACTGCATGTCGATGACCGCCTGCACCTTCTCAGGGTTCGCCTCTATTCCTCTCTGATTGATAAGGAATTCGAGAAATTTCCCAGACTCAACTCCAAAGACACATTTCTTGGGATTGAGCATGACATGGTGCCGCCTGAGTGTGGCGAAAGTTTCTCGGAGGTCCGACAGATGATCTTTCTGAAGTTTAGACTTGACAATTATATCATCAATATATGCCTCGACATTTCTCCCAATCTGATCAAAGAACACAGTGTTTATCATTCGCTGGAAAGTGGCCGGGGCATTCTTAAGACCAAATGGTATGACCGTGTAACAGTATAACCCCTGATCAGTGACGAAGGTCGTCTTCTCCTGATCTTTCTCCCATAAAGGAATTTGATGGAAACCAGAGTAGGCGTCCATAAAGCTCATCAAAGCATGGCCGGCTGTTGAGTCGACCAGGTTATCAATTTTAGGCAGAGGGTAACTGTCTTTGGGGCACGCCTTGTTTAAGTCTGTGTAGTCTACACACATTCGCCAGGTGCCATTCGACTTTTTAACAAGCACCACATTTGCAACCCAGTCTGGGAAGTAACATTGCCGAATGAACCCTGCATCAAGTAATTTTTTAACTTCGGCGGCTGCCGCCTGACTTCTTTCTTCGCCATGGTTCCGCTTCTTCTGCCGTACCGGCTTCTTTTTCGGATCCACGGCCAGTTTATGTACCGCCAGATCAGGACTAATGCCTGGCATTTCATGGACTTCGGAATGCAAAGATGTACTTGTATTCTTTCAATAGTTTGTGAAAGTCGTCACCCAGGTCCCTTAGAGCAGTCGTCCCAACCTTGATTGTTCTGTCAGGACGCGAGTCATCTAAGATCAGGTCCGTATGCTCACCAGTTGGCTGAGGGCGGAATTCATCCGACCGCTCCTCTGCCAATGATTGCTATTTTCTGTCTTTTCTTGCGGCCCCTGTCTGGGATGCCTTTCTCTTCTTGTCGCCTGCTTCTTGAACAGGCGCACTCTCCTTGACATTGTCAAGGTCTATTTTTCCACCGCTCGACATAGTGGCCATAACAGTGGGCTTGACATCCGAGAGATAGCACTCTCGGGCCATCCTCTGATCTCCCCTTAGGGACCCGACTGTTCCATTATCCCTCTCAAACTTGAGCAACATAAGAGATGGGATTATAACAGCCTTGGAATTATTCAGGGTTGGTCGTCCCAGAATCATGTTGTAGGCCGAGAGTTCTTCTAATACCAAGAACCGGACTACCATGTGTCGTCCTTCCACTTTTTCGCCCAGGGCGGATGGGTAAATCCACTCGTCCCACTGGGTGGACGACTCCTCCTCCAAACCCTACTAAAGGGTGGGATGCCGGATGTATGCAATCAGTCTGATATTTTAGTTTCGATAGACATTTGCTACTGATGAGATCTGAGGAGCTTCCGGTATCTATGAGGATTCGGCCAACTCTCTGGTTGGCCACTTTACATTCAATAACGATAGGGTCGTCATGCGGCCCTCTTACCCCTCCTAGATCTTCTTCAGTGATGACAATCTCAGGAAATGAATATTTGGAGGGCCGTTCTTGGTGAACGGAATTTACATCTAACCGTCTGATATTGTCTTTGTTTCCCCTAATAGTGGGGCCGCCTCCTGAGAAGCCGCCTGCAATGGTGTAGACGACTGCATCATCTGTATCGGAACTGTCGGCCTGTTGATTCTTTTTAGCCGACTGCTTTTTCGAGGAAGTGTTCCCCGTAGATTTCTTGACATAAGTGTCAAGATCACCTTGCTCAGCCAGGCGGTCCAGATACCCCATGAGACTGATGCATTCATTGGTGTGATGACCAACATCTTCATGATAATCACAGAATTTTTCTTGGTTCCGGTTGTTTGCAGAACCTTTCATGGGGACCGGCTTCTCAATTAAGATTCGTCCCTTGATTTCCTTTAGGATAAATTGGCTATCCTTGTTAAACGCATACTTTGGGGAGTATGGTTTGAATTCTTTTTTCTTCTTCTGGGACGGCTGTTTAGAGGAATCAGTTGCCTAGACCTCTTTTCTCTTCTCGTCTTTGTTTGACGACTGCTTCTGTCGTCCTTCTCTTTTGTCGGACCTTCTCCCGTCTGACTGTTTTACCGTACTACAAAGATCAGTCGCCTGTATATAGGCTTCCGCTTCAATCAAGGCCTCTTGAAGAGTCGCCACCCTCTTTCGGACCAAATCAAATTTGAAGGTCGACCCGTCTTTGAGACCTCTGAAAAAGTCAGTATAGGCTACTTCATCCAGTAACCCTTGAATCTGTATTCTCATCAGGTTAAACCGCCTGATGTAAGAACGAAGCCCCTCCTTCTCGCCCTGCTGAATTGTTCCTAAATCAAGGGTCGTCTTCTTCGCAGGGATGTTCATGGCGAAGTTGGAGGTGAATAAGTAAGCAAGCGTCTTGAAGTTATTTACACAACCAGTCGGCAGGTTGCCGAACCATTGTTGTGCTATTCCTTTGAGAGTCGTTGGGAAACACTTGCACCAAGTGGGATCATCCAACCCTTGAAGGTACTTCAGGTTGGTGAATGCCATCAGATGGTCTTCTGGGTTAGTAGTGCCGTCATAGGCGCCTACTAATACATTTTTCACTTTGGCCGGCTGAGCGGCTTCAGTAATTTCCTTGGAGAAGGCCGACGGCTGTTCACCAAGTCTAAGCAACCGTAGCTGCCAGTCCATAGGTTGGACATTTTTTGCTGCATGTCCACCAAACGGAGGTGGCTGTAAAAAATACTGTTGTTGCGGTACAAACGGTAAGTTTGGTACCGCCTGGTCGCTATGAAAGCCGGACTGACGGGAAGTGCCGCCTGACTGACTCTCATGATACGACTGAGTATGCCTCATCGAGGTATTTCGCAGACTGTCTTGGAAGTTTGAAGTAGAGGCCGACTCTGACAATCGGTCACTCTTCTTCTGTTCTAGCAGTAGCCGAGCGTCTGTGTATGTTTTCCTCGACCCGTCCGCCTGAATATGACGAACAGGTTTCCTATTTCCTGGAGTAGGAAAACGGTATTTTGTGAAATCAAGGGCAGGTGGCTCCCACTTCCTAGATTTAGGATGAGGGGTCGCCTCTCGCCCTTGAACTGGCTTCCACTTCCGTGAAGTGGAGGGTTTCTTAGCCGACTGCTCCTTGTCCAGAGCAGGCGGCTTCTTGTTGATCAACTCTTGAATTTCTCCCTTGAAGTCCCTCATGAAGGTCATGAGTTCGTTCCTTGTGATGGGAGCAGACCCATCAGTCGGCTGCTGCCGAACAGGCGGTGCGCCTGCTGGCTCGCTTCCTGTTTGAAGATGTTCTCGTTCCCTCCTTTCGGTATGACGGGTACGTCGGGCCCTTAGGGTCCTGTCTGAAGCTGTGTGAGCTTCAACTTCAAATTCATTCTCAGTATCGTGGTCCGACTGAACTAGAGGGTCGTCCAGGGGACGTCTCTCTTCAGGAGCCGGTACAAACGTGGATGCCATCTCAGAAGTACTCTCCCCACAGACGGCGCCAAAATGTTTCGGGGTTTTCTGATGTCCTGCGGGAGAGTTACAATTCCGAGACTGGAACCGGACGCCTGTACCTGCAAGACAAACGGATGCTCCGGATGATTGGAGATCCGCCTCCGACGGTCAAGTTAGTACTTGATTAAGGAGTAATTAATGCGGAAATTAAAGTGATTGGGTCTCTCTAGGTGAGAGAGTTTAATGTGCGTAATCTGCGTAATCTGCGTCCTCTCCCTTAATGAGGATTAAGGGAGGTATTTATAACCTCGGGAAACGTGCCAATCTAGGTTTAGGTTAACCTTGGGCTGATTGGGCTTCCCTCGGAAGTTGGGCCTAGGTGACCGGTTATCCCAGGTGTCATGGGAAGGACACGTGTCGTGTCGTAATTGGTCCATAGTGGACGGATCATTGCTTGACACGTGGCGGACTCCTATTGGCCCATGTGACGGACACATGGCGGAACCTGATTGGTCCACTTGTCAGATGGTGATTGGTGGGGAAAAATCCCTTAATCATGTCTTATCCTGGTTGGCTCATTTTGGGCGCTTCTAAGGTTGACACGTGTCACGACCTGATTGACCCTCATGTCTAGGGTATTTTTACTCTAAACAAGTGTTCCTTTTTTTTTTCCTCGTGTTCTTTATACATATATGTAATGTTCTTTACAGGTGCACCATGTGCCAGATGTACGATACCATATAAATTTCATACAAAACGGAGACAATAATCATAAAATTGGGCTGGTGTAACACAAATTCTTATATGTGTGGCCAGCCAACATGAGGGCTACTTCTTCAGTTTTATAGGGGTTATTTGGTTTGTGTTACAGGAGTTATTTCGTCAATGTTACAGGAGTTACTCACCCAGTATTACAAGAATTACTTAGTAAATATTACAGGGGTTAATTTATTGTTTTACAAGTAGCCAGATGTGGTCATCAACCGCACAAAAGATGGGCTAATCGCACACTGATACAATTAGTTTATTCAAAACAAAGAGAAAAAAACACTTTTTTAAACATGAAAATTTTGAAAATAAGGCAAAACCCAAACCCTTGAACGATACAAGTATGAGTGAGCGTTTCCAGAGGTAGCCAGATGTGGTCATCAGCTGCACACAAGACGGGCTAATCGCACACTGATGCAATTAGTTTATTTTTTACGTAGTATTTTTTTTTTGACAATTACAATTAGTTTATTCAAAACAAAGAGAAAAAGCACTTTTTTAAACATGAAAATTTTGAAAATAAAACCCAAACCCTTGAACGATACTAGTATGAGTGAGCGTTTCCAGAGGCTATTGGCAGCAGAACGATGAGCTCTGTCGACTGTGGTGCTATCCAGGGAGAATCAACGTCGTCGGATAACGGCGACCAACCTCAACGGCCGCCCAAAGTCCCTAGGATCGAAGAAGAAGAACAACAAGTTGAAAGCATGAAGCCACCAAAACCTGGATTACAGCGTTATCTTGTTGCTTTTGAATATATTGGCACCCATTTTTCCGGCTCTCAGCAACAACGCGATCAGAGAACTGCTGTTGGTGTTCTTCAGGTGTCTTTCTCTCCTTCCTCATTTCACTCTTTTATTTATTTATTTATTTATTTTTTTTGACAAAGTTTTCACTCTTTATATATATATATATAATTTTATTTTTAATTTTGTGAAGTTATAATGATTGATGGGATTTGCTGTATTGAGAATTCGATTGTGATGTTAAGCATATGCCCTTTATAAATTTTGCTAATGAGGCAACAAAGGTTGCCATTATGTGAACTTGAATTTGATATTCCTCCGTTGGTATTTGATTTGTACCACCAGTGACACACATAAAAAAAAAAAAATACATCCTCCGTTTCTATTTAGTTGACACGTTTGTTTAGTCACATTTGCCATTGCATAAATTCAACCATTAATATCTTTAACTACCAACAAGCAAAAATTTTTAACAGTTGATATTTTGAAAATATATATTGTGATGAATCTAACCAGATCCCACGTGACTATATTTTAATTACATATAAAGGACAAAATGCAGTCGGTCAAAGAAGAGTGTGTGAATAGTGTTTGAAGTCAAAATGTGTCAACAAATGGACAAATTTACTCAAAAAAATCTTATCACCGATAAGAAAAAAGTGTTAACTTGTTACAATTTAAGTTTTATTATAATATAATTTTATACGTTTGTTCACCTTTTCTAATCTTTTCTTCAAACAACATGCTAAAAAAGGTGTGTTGCAAGTATAAGATAACAAAGGAAGTATTAATTACTTTGTATATGAGATTAATCATATACTTCGTATTTGTTAATGAGACAACAAAGTCATTGCCAATAGGGAATACTCACAAGTAGTTGATAATATTTTTGCTTATCTATGAATTTGAATTTGAGGCTAATCTACAATCTTATTAAATTTTATGCAACACAATGGTTGTATTTATTCATAAATGGTTGTTGTAAATATATCTTTGCAAATTCAAGGTTTATGTTGGGATTTTTCTTAATTTTTTTAATATGGGATTTTTGCTTTTTTGTATTGTAATAGCCAATTTGGTAACCGTTCATAATATAGAAAATGAATTTGTATATAAATTTGAAAAGAAAATCAATGTTCATTCCCATGATCATTCAAGATGACATCAAAATTGTCTATTCTAAATCATGAAATTTCATTCCCACTTAATACCATCTTCCAAGTGGGAATGGAAAAACATGAACAATACACATGCTTGGGGGATGAGAATTTGAGATGTGTTCTTATGGAGATTATTGGCTGTTTTCCATACTAAATTACACTTAAAATTTAACTCCATGACCTCAATTTAGTACCGGCTACCAAAAGGGCCGAAGATATTTATCTTGTATTTTCTATAGAGGCAACAACGTAGTTGCAATGATTCTTAAGTGGTTGATGGTTTGCTTTTTTGTGAATTCAAGGTTTGTATTCAAAATTTTCTTAATTTGCTCACTAGGCAGCAACATTTATAGTTAATGTTTGTTTGATGAAACGTTTTTATATTTTTTTGTTGTGGTTTGTGCAGAATGCTTTTCAGAAATTTGTGGGGCAACCAGTTTCAATCTTTGGCTCTAGTAGAACAGTATGTTAATGTTCTATCGCCTTCTTCTCCTTTAATATGAAATGTGACAAATTATATGTGACACACTTTTAAGCTTAACCGCTAAGCTAAATGAAGTGAAGAATGAGCTGAAATGCATGTACCAAACTTCAGCTTTAATAATAGTGTTTACCTCATCTTGCTGTATGCTTGACAAGTTGATTAACACAATATTTCATTCAATCATGATTTATTCATTTTGGCTGACAGCAACATCAAATAAATCTACAGATGGTTATAAGCTTAAATTTGTGTCAGTCGGTCAGGTGTTGCTGTTTAAGCCTAAAAATGGCTCTTTCAAAATCAACTGACTAGATATGTTGGAGTTATGTGCCTTTTAAGTCAGACAAAAGAGAGGAACTATGCTATCTTAGGGGTGATGTGGAGCTCATCTAGTATGTAATCACTCACCTACGACCTCTCCTCTAAAGTATAAACTGGAGTATGCCCTTTCTTGGTTTAATTAGTTTCAGTTGGTCCCTCATGTGCACAACCTTGAAAGGTGTATGTTTAGGGCCTGTTCACTTGAGCTTGATTTTAGTTCAGTTCAGCTCCTAATTTCCTTCTCTCATATAATATTCATTTCAGCTCTATTCAGTTCAGGTAGGTCCCATTTCTAGTTTAGCTCTAATCACTTCAGCTCAATTAAGTAAATGTGAATAGGCCCTTAGTTGAGGTATATGGGGCGAGGTATTGCAGGAGTACTTTGCTCATATTAAGTAGCCATTTTTCCCAGGTTTTGAGATTCTCAGCCGCGATAGCGCAGCCAGAAGCCCACTCAACTCCTAATTACATACATGTCTATTTACCTATTTCTCAGTGACATTGTGAGCATAGCCCTTTGTCCTTTTTTTCCTGTAGCACATGCTATGCTAGTCTCTTTGTTTCTCCTCTCTTCTGAGTAGAAACTAGAAAGTGTAGAAACTTTGGAATTATGGTTTATAGAGGCTTGGGATTTGTTGGGAATTCAGTTCCCACATTTCCAGCACTTGGGTTGGATTGAGCACCGCAAGTGTAAACTGGCAGCTTGGCAGCCTGCCTGAAGGATTTAGAATGGCCCATAGTCAAGTTAGATTTGACTGCTTTGATTACTCCATTCTACAGTCCACCAATCCCATTCTTTCCTCAACCCTACTAGCTAAGTCCTTGAATTGCAATACACTCTAACCTCACCGCAAAAATAACAGGAATGCACTAGAAGTTCTTAAAGAAAGATTGGGACTTTATGTTTAGATATAGCAAAACACAATACAAGGTAGTAGCTTTGAGAGACTACATCTTTCCCAAGATACCAGATTACACTTTTTATTTTATTTTTTTCCTTGAATGCCATTCTCACTAGCTACATTTCCCTTTTACATTGTAGTCCACAATCTTGTAATGGCATAGGTAATAAGTGTAGGTGGTCTGTCTTGATTTGTTGCAGTTAAGCTTACAAATGTTGCCTGAAGAATTAAGGTCCATATAGGTGATTTCTCCTTAACCCTCTTTTAAATTTATGACTAGTGTGTGGCCTTGTACTTTTTTAGTTTGAAATCGTGTTTGACTTTTAATTTTTCCTTAGTGTTCTGAAAATTATCTTGAAAGTTTCTTATCTTGAAAAAAGATTTTAAATTGACTGATTCGGTGTATCTTTTTGAGCAATTTTGTTCTATATTATTTTTCAGCTGTTTGTATTAGGAGAACCATGTTCAATAGTATGTTATGATATAAAGATATTCAACAATGATAATTTAACCGAAAAATAAAATTATTACTTCCTATATTTCATCGAATAATATAAAAATACAATTTCCAAAATTAAAGGTGCTACAATGCTATGATCATTTCATAAAGGAAACAAAATATTACAATTAGGCACTTAGGCACTCATCATATGTGAGTTAACTATACTTTTGTTTGGTATGAAATCATAGTAATGAATGGCTAGATGGTATACTTGTAATGTAACACTTGTTGGTCTCATGTTCAAGCCTTAGTATAAGCATTTTTTGGTTGGTTATTACATCTAATATATGTTATACTTGTCCAGGTGATGTGGCATGTTTATAGTGTTTGAAACGAATGACACGTGACACACAGTATTAGGAGTGCTTTTTAATATATCAGTATAGATTTGTTATAACAATTTCTCCTTGAGTTACGATTATTAATTTTATATAAGTTTTTTTTTGTTTTATTTTTTATTTATTTATTTTTTTGAGTCAAGGCTAATTTAGTCGACCTAATAAAGTGGGAACTTCAAGCCCTCCTTTTTAGCTGTAGTTGAAACAATCTAGAGTGAAGGCCTATAAGTTGGGGAAGATTAGAAGTGGAAGCTATCATATAAGGCCTATAAGTAATTATCTCTTATCTCAAATCAACACCGAGGGACTCTTTTTATCAAGTGCTATGCAAAAACTCTTTCTCACCATGGAAATTTATGTTAATTATTTAAGATTCAGTGTGCATTCACAATTTGCAATTTATGGTCCTGCAAAGGTATCAGCAGGGTATAGCAGCTAATTATGTAAAATAACATCTTGATTAATTATTTGTTTATCTATGCTTATGATAATTATCTTCTTATTTTGTGAAGAAGGATAATTTGGTGGATAGTATTGTAGATTTTATGCGTTCATTTGCTTATTCCACATAAAAAACTTAAGGAATAAGTCAAAGTAAAAGGGGAGTTTATAATTATGTTCCCGTTATGCAGGATGCTGGAGTTCATGCCTTGTCAAATGTATGTCATGTAGATGTTGAACGTACTAGTAAGAGGAAGCCAGGTGAAGTGGTAATACTGACTTGTTAATTTATTTCGTACATACGCTCTCTATATATTTATCTATGTAAAGTCTTCCCAAACTTGTAATTTGTTTTTATTTGCTTGATTTTCCTCTCTTTTATCCCCCCTTACTACTTGTTCATTAAAATTTCTCAATATTATTTTTATGATTAACTTTTGGGTTTTAATTTTACATGGCCTTTTCTTTTTCTTACTATATATATATATATATATATATATATATATATATATATATATATATATATTTTGTGGTTAGTTCCTTATTGTTTTGGGGTTTTTTGTACGTACCCGAATGGAGGGCGTGTACGTCCCTCGGGAGACAGATTTGCAATGCAACACTCGAGCGGCCCGATCACCTGCAAAACAACGAACCCCGGGGAGGGCCGAAGGTCCGCCTCCGACGATCAAGTTAGTGACCAAAATAATGTATTTTAGAGAGAGAAAGTAGAGAGAAGGGAGAGTAAATGTGGGGGGCATTGCCCTTAGAGAGAGAATTGGATCCCTTAAAACTGATGTAATGATCAGTATTTATAGAGCATTGGGATATATGCCTCACTGTTTTACGGTTTCCCACTGTTTTACGGTTTAGATTGGCTTCCCACTGTTTTACGGTTTCTAGGGTTGTGGGCTTAAAGCCCATTTTCACCCTTCTATCATTGAGTGACACATGTTATGCTCTAATTGGCTCATTGAGCGCTGAGCTTGTGGACATGTCGCAGTGGCATTGGTCCACATATAGGGGGTATTTTTCCCCCAAACATTAGCCCCTCGGAAGGGGTAATTTCTCTTTCAAGAGGAATTACTCCTTTCGAAATCAAGGCTTTATTTTCCGCTTGTTCAAAAGCTCTACAGGCGGCATATGTCTAGTTTAATAAAAGAGAGATTTGATTAACTTGGAAAATTTGATACCTTAAAGGGTATGATATTTTCTAAGTTAATCAATCATAATAATGATTGCCGCCTGAACTAGACAAGATGACGACTTTTATTTCTTTTAGCTCCACTATGGTGGTCATATGACCTTTGGGTGACTTGGAATATTTTTGAGACTTTTGACATCCCATAAGGAAGGAGGTGAATGGCCGCCTGGGGTAGGAGGCAAATGGCCGCCTGACTCTTCATAGGACAGGAGGCAAATGCCGCCAGAGGACAAGAGGCAAATGGCCTCCTGACTCTTCATAGGGCAGGAGGCAAATGCTGCCTGGGGGCAGGAGGCAAATGGCCGCCTGACTCTTCATAGGGCAGGAGGCAAATGCCGCCTGGGGTGTTTGTAATCTAATTATACTTTCAATGTCCTTCTACCCCATTGGGAGGACTTGTATAATTTCGGAAGGTAATCTAGGTTAGAACTTCGGTCGGTCACCGGTTGATGTCTTTTGGTCATCCGGTTCTCGAAGACTTGGTCGTTCTTTAGATTACCCAGGTTAGGCGGCTATGAGTTGACCAATGAGGTCGTTCAATTTTTTGCCGCCTGCATGTGTACGTAAAGCAAACGATAAGAGTGCTTTCTGCGACGATTGCACCCGGAGGGGTGTCGCCGGACGCCATATTTCACATTGGAGCAGACGAATTTACCAAAATGTATAACCATCCGGCCATTGGCCTCATGTCTTTTTCAAGACAGTTGTATAGCCATTGCACAACTCTTTTTTCCCCAATGGGAGAGTCTATGCAATTTCGGAATGAAAAGCCTAAGTAAGAACTTCGGTCGGTCACCGATTGATGTCTTAGGACATCCGGTGTTCCGAAAACTTAGTCGTTCTTTAGACTGTTTTGGTCACACGGCTATGAGTTGACCAATTTGGTCGTTTTGCTGTCTGCATAGGTACGTAGAGCAAGGAAGTAGGCTGCTCTCTGCGACGATCGCACCCGGAGGGGTGTCGCCGGACGCCATTGTCCATGTTGGGACAGACGATTTTTGAAAAAAGCAACCATCCGGTCATTGGCCTCTGGTCGAGACCGGCTGTATAGCCACTAAGCGGTTTTGTGCCTAGTTTAGTTATCTGGCCATTGGCCGCATGTCACTCGGACGTTGAATTCGCTACTAAGTTTCAAACTTAGTTTATTATCCGGCCATTGGCCTCACGTCACTTGGACGTTAGTTTAGCTACTAAGTTTCAAACTTAGTTTATTATCCGGCCATTGGCCTCATGTCACTTGGACGTTTGTTTAGCTACTAAGTTTCAAACTTAGTTTATTATCCGGCCATTGGCCTCACGTCACTTGGACGTTAGTTTAGCTACTAAGTTTTTTAACTTAGTTTATTGAATTAATGAATCAATATATTCAATAATAATAATAATAATAATAATAATAACTCATTATAATTATTATTACAAGAGAATAAATCAGTAATTATTATATTGTTACCTCAAACATTCAATGATTGGCGTGGCTTTGATTTGCTTTAAAAGCTTAAGAATGGGAGCCGGAGATATCACAAGCTCCTTGTTGTATTGCCATGCGACATTTGTCATTGTTAGAGGACAAAGCAGCCACGCAACAATATTTAATTGGAGAACAAAGCAGCCACTATAGCCGGTCCTAATTGAGGCACAAAGCAGCCCACAGCCGGGAGGGATAGATGAGAAAAGTATCCCCTTCCGCACATATAGCCGCCCTTGGTTAAAGAACAAAGCAGCCATGGCAGCCGGATTTAATTGAAGCAGGAAAAAGCTCCACAACCGGGCTTAATCAAGGTAGGTAGCAGCCCCTACGGCTGAGTTAGTTCATGAGCAAAGATGCCCTTGCCGCCTGACTGAATTGATGAGCAAAGCTGCCTTTGCAACTGGACTTATTTTGTGAACAAAGTAGCCCTGCAGCTGGACTTAATTGAATAACAAAGAAGCCCCTACAGCCGACTGACATTTCAAGCCGTTTGAGTGATTCTATAACAAATAACCGGGCTTGGGAAGTGAATTTGCTCATTGATTACACAGACAACAATTTTTGTTGTTTGTACAAGAGCTCATCCCCTGCATTTGGATGAGTATGCCTGGTATGGCACGCGGATATTCTCATGAGGTGAGTTAGCATACTCATCACGTGTCGATTGACCCCTTTGATAATATATTCATTCAAATATAATTGCTTCTTGGTATAAGATCAACATGGAGGAGCTTTAGCTTAATCATAAGATAGCGCTTGCATGGGTTTTGATGCCGCCTGACTTGTGTCATAGCAGCTTGAGGCCAAGAAATCAAGTTTACTAATAACTTCTTTCTGATTGTCTTTCCAACTAACCAAGTTGGCAATATCAAAATTTTTTTTTTTTTTTTTTCAACTAACCAAGTTGGCAATTTTTTTTTTTTTTTTTTTTTTTTTTGTGTAATCATAATAATGATTGCAATTTTGCATGAAACCAACTAACTTCTCGCAATTAAGTTGCTTCATGAGTGGTACAGTCGGTAAAGAAGACCGATCTTGAATGAAAATGCGACCAGAGACAGCCCCTACATACGGTTATGGGTGATTAGCAGACAATCGAGCTCTCTTGTAAGATCACATCACAGCCAGCTTTGAGGTTGAATAGAGCAGCCATGGCAGCCAGCTTTGAGGTTGTTCAAAGCAACCCCTACAGCCGGGTTTAATTGGCTACAACCCAGGCGGTATGGAGTGCAAAAATTATTAAATGATTAAATGATTGATTACGACCCAGCCGGCTTGGAGTAAGTTCGAGCTCAATGAGCCATTGCTGCAGCCAGAATAGGTTGGTTACAATCGAATGTCACAACCGCTTAATTTGATAAATATAGCTGCCACGCATCCGGACTTAACGAAGAACAAATCATCAGCTTGAGTATGAACCAAGCAGCCCCTACAGTAGGCTTAATTGTCAAGCAATGATGCCCAATGCCGCCTGCAGTGCAACTGTGCTGAGCTGACTTGCTGTGTACACTATTAGAGAAAAATGATGGCAGCCGGCATAAGATCCGTCTCCGTTGTTGCTTTCAACATCATCATTTCCCGACTGGGAGGAGCTTGGTATTTAACCGTTTGGGTGAATGTAAGCCAACATTTTTTAAACTTCATATTGACAGACGGCCATGGAAGGCCAAGTAACTAAGCTCTAGTAATCAAGTTGCTTCCAAAGTACATAGACGACATGATAGTGCCAAGCAGCCGCTAGCTCATCTTACGCTGGGTAAGAAGGCTGAGGTTCCATGGTAATTTAACCATGTTAAAGCCGCTTGAATATAGAGCTGGTGCTTTCCGCTTCACATTTGTACATATGGTTGCCGCCTCACTCACTATATTGTACAAAATATAGATATTGTCGTTTTGTGCCCTCAAATGCAGCTTTGCCGTCTCAAGAAAACTTCAAGCAATTGAGGTTCTTCAATGATGATACAACCGGTATTGAGGACCGACTCACTACCTTTGCTCACCCTCAAATTTTTGGGTCAAAGTATGAACATAGACAACCCCTACATCCGGCTTTATTGACGAGGAAAGCTGCCTATCAGCCGGGGTAAATTGATGAGCAAGGATGCCCTTTATTGACGAGCAATTGAGCCTTGTCAACCAGGATAAATTGGTAAGGAATCCTGCTTCAGCCGGCTTTTGTGACGAGCAAAGATGCCACTACAGCCGGGGCAACTTGCGAGGGAAGCTGCTCATACAACCGGAATTAATTGATGAGCATTTGAGCCCGGAAGCCGCTTAACCGAGGCAGGAAATAGCCCCTTTTGCCGGCTTGTTAGGATGAACAAAGCAGACTCGCAGCCGGGCCATGATTGAGGAACAAAGCTGCCTCTCAGCTGGGCTTGGTTAAGGCCAAAAGAAACCACACAGTCGAGCTTGATTGAGGCAAGAAGCAAGTCATCATCCGGGCTTAATAAGCCAATGACATAGCCGGTTTTAATGAAGAACAATGCAACCGTTTGCCGTTTGAGTAAGCTCATAATAATTTTTTTACATCATAATAATGATGAATATAGTATCATTGCAGCCATGGCAACCGTTTAATTGAGACACCGTTCATGGCT